CCCCAAAACCCCAAAACCCCAAAACCCCGAATGCATGAAATTGAAGGAATTAGACTTAAAACTATAAATTTATCATTCAATCAATTGTTGAATCACATATCAATCATTTGCATACATAGATGTCTATACCAAGATCACTCTCACTTTCGATGTTAGTCTCTAAGTAGGCCATTTCGTAGTGATCGTCTACATAGTACACAACGAAGTCTGGGAACCATGGGTTCTCTCTTGGGGTTTGGAACAATTTATAGAAGAGGTCAAGGCATTCTTGGCCAAAGTGATTTCCAAAGATTTTAAAGGACATTAGAGTTGAGTTATGGAACAATGATTGAGAGAAAAATGTCAAACCATAGTCTTTTATGTCGTTGTAAGTCATGTCAAGATGAATAAGAGATTTATTCTAAGAAAGAGCCTGAGCGATGGCTTTAGCTCCGTAATCAGAGCATTTATTGTTAGATAAGTGAAGTGACTCGAGTGAACAGTTACTACTTTTCAGATATTTGGCGATTGCCTCGCACCCCTTGAAAGCAATTTCGTTTGCATTCAAGTCAAGAACCTTCAAAGTATTGTTCTCAAGTAAATGCTCCATAATTATATAGACTCCATCATCTCTAAGTTTGTGCTTTCTAACTGATAGCTTTTAGAGTCCTACGTTATTTTGGAACATCTTGCCAAAGTGAATAGCTACTGACTGGCAAATGGTTTTGTAGACTGGGTTTTCAATGTTAAGCTCTTCAAGAGTGTAGTTTGAAGAGTTGAGCACACTCAAAATACCAATGATACCATCATGATCAATCTTATTGTTTCCTAGATTCAAAGATAGCAGTTTGTCGTGAGTGAATAGCAACTCAGTTACCATCATTGCTCCATTAGTCTTGATTTTATTCAAGTTCAAGTTCAAATACTATAGACTGGTGCACTCCTTAAGGGACTCAGCTAAGTACTGTGCTCCCTCGGATTTTATCTTGTTGCCTTGAAGATTTAAACCCAAAAGTCTAGGTGATTTACAAATAAGATCTCCCAATGCTTTGGCTCCAATATCTGTTATCTCGTTGTATCTAAGATCAATATCTTCAATGTAAATAGCATAGTTTTCAAGAGTTGAGCAGATAGCAATTAACGCCTGATCATTGACTCTGCTGCCGAAGTTAAGCTTATCATTTCCCTAGATAACGATCTCCAAAGCATCATTTTCCTCTGAAGTCTCCTCCAGGTACTTTTCAAATGCACGGTGAGGAGTGATTTCACTAGCTGCGCATCTCTGCAAGTAAAGTTCAAGCACTTCTCTTTTTACAAGCTCAGCAAATTCTTATGATGCCATATTGTTTTCTTTTTTCAAAGAATTTATTAAATTATTGTTTTATTTCATTTAATTCATAAGAGTTCTATGAAAATTGTAATTGAGGGGTTTTGGGGTTTTGGGGTTTTGGGGG